TGTTATTTTGGCCAATAGAAGAAAAAAAAAGATTCCAGGTGACGGGTCAGTGGTCACTGGGGGTGAGGTGGGGTAGACAGTGTAATCGGTGTAGCCGTCGGGAGCTCTTTCTCCTATGGATCGGAGTTCTTCTGAACGTAGGAGTCACTTACATGACTTCCTCAAAATCTGACTTCATAACTAGTGTGCCAGAGACAGCACGCAGCCCTCAGTCCATGAGGATCCCATGATTCATCACTGCCTTCCAGGGCAACAAGCTCACAGGGCAGTCACCCCTCCCTAGAAACACACTCATGCTTTTGTATCTTTTCCCAGAGCATTAAACATTAGCTACAGAAAGAAAGACTAATGTATCCAATGTAGTACTTACTGTTAAGCGGTAGGAAAGCGGTATTCCCCACCCCACCCCACTCCCACTCCCACGTGGAACTAGCCCTAGCACACAGAGGTGCTGGTTTTACTGATCCAGGCCTCTTCCTCCAGACAAGTGGCTTCTCAGTCCCCCACAGACGTGTGCTGAGCATCTGCTCTGTCACGGGCACAGTTGTCAGGAGTCGGAGACACAGCAATAAGTAAAATGGACTGAATTGTGAAATAGAAGCTCATTCAAACAGCAGACACGTATGGAACATGCATGTTACATGTATAGCTTTCTTCAAACACAGTGAGACCCTGTATGCATTCTTGTGGTGTTGTGGGGCTGGGGCTGGGCCCCTTACATGTAGGCAAGTGCCCTTCCACAGAGTTATACCTCACACAGCTGTTTGCGTTCCCAAATGCAAATATCTCAGGTAGAAATTTAAAAAGCAAAGGCAGCTTTATCAGTTTTCGGCCCACAGTCCAAAGACAGTCTATATGTTGATAGCTCCTCGGGTTTGCTCGTGAACAGTGACACCCCACAGAACCACGGCCACACTGAAAATATGGGTTTCCTTAGACTGTTTCACACAGGAGCGCAAACAGGCCACACAAACAGAAGCAAACCCCACGGAAACTGCCACTCAGAAGGAATCTCGGACAGCCCTTAACTTTTTTTTTTTTTAAATGAGAACACTTTTTTTTTTTTTTAGATTTATTTATTATGTATACAACATTCCTTCCATGTATACCAGCAGGGCAGAGGCCAGAAGAGGGCACCAGATCTCATTATAGATGGTTGTGAGCCACCATGTGGTTGCTGGGAATTCCAACTCAGGACCTCTGGAGGAGCAGTCAGTGCTCTTAACCTCTGAGTCATCTCTCCAGCTCCCTTAACTCTTTTAATAACCTGTTTTCCCTTGAAACTCAAGATTTAGGATCAAGCCAGATGTCACTCGATAGCCCTGACAGTCAGCATAATTTGTTGTGACCTATACAGCCTTCCATGGTCGTGGATTTAGCCATCAGATGGCTCCACAGTGGGATCAGAGGTCTCCTTTCCTTGGATACGATATCCTTAGGTTCCCATTGCCCTCAGGATGCCTAAGCGAGCGCTGAGTGTTTGCCCAGCCCTTAGTTTTCGGAAGGTGTGATTTCATGGCGTTTTTATTCGCTGATTTTCACTACAGCTCATCAAAGTGTTGGCAGCAGTGATCATTGATGGTATTATGTGAGGCTTTTCAAATGATTTATTTTATTTTAAGCAGTGTGTGTGTGAGGGGAGGGTATGTGAATGTGATTGCAAGTCCCAGAAGGAGGCATCAGATCTCTCTGGAGTTACAGGGGATTGTGAGCCTCCATGTAGGTGCTGGGAACCAAATCCAGGTCCTCTGAAAGATCAGCACCCACCCAACCTCCAAGCCATCTCTCTAGCCCCAGATATTATTATTTGGTTTTGAGACTTTTTGTTTCTTTTAAATACTTTGCAAAAGTTCAAGGGTTTTGTTTTTGCTGTTGTTGTTTGGTTTTTGCCTGGCCACCTTGATATTTTAAACTGTGTCACGGAAAATGTTACATTATCACAGTTTGCTATGGCTGCCTGTAATTCACCTGTGGGCAAGCTGCATCCCCTTCCTCGTTCCTGTCACTTGTCCTTTGGGTTGTTTCCCCATATCTTCATGGTCTTTAAGGGGAGACCTACAGGTAACAGTGATTGGGTCCTTAAGGAAGTGCCTAGCACACCCTATGAGCACTGTCATGCTGCTGGTCCTCCCTGCTGTCCTCCCTGCTGTCCTTCCTGCTGGTCCTCCCTGCTGTCCACCCTGCTGGTCCACCCTGCCAAACTGCTCCCCACCACCAGCAGCAGCAGTGTGTGACACCGACAGGGATACTGTCTGGTTTAGGCCCCAAAATGGTGGTGCTGTTCTCTGCCCAGGCCAAGAAGAGCAGGAAATGGTTTCATTGGCAGTGTCAGCCTGGTGACCCCAGGCCCGGCCCATAGGAGTGTGTTTTAACAAGCGCAATTACCAGAACAGAACCTGCAGAGTGAAAGAAAAGCAAGCAAGCAAGCAAAAATAAAATTAAATTAAAAAAAAAGAAACCAACAGAAAAAACCCTGTTGGAAAATACACAGGGAGATTAAAATAATGTTTGGCACTTACATCACACTTTTAAAATTCTTCAAACGCTTTAGAAACACTAGCTAATTAATTAAGCTGCCGAAATCTGCTTGCAGTTGGTCGAGAGCTCCAGAGGAGCTAAAGAGGGGGGGGGGGTGAGGGGAGGAGCCAGCCCTCCCCAGCCCCAGATTTTATTGTCACCTGCCTGGGGTGTGATTACAGGCCTCTGGCTGCACCACAAGAATAGCCCTGCTCCAACTTGTGTTCGCCCTGAGCGTAGCTCCCTCACCAACCGCTGACTCAGTTCTGTGCTCTGTTGGGGATGAGGTTAATGATAACGGAGCATCCGCATCCATGGAACAGATGAAGGAAGAGGCTCGGGGCTTTGCCAGGGTCACAGAGCAGATAAAACCCCTACTTTCTCAGTTCATCAGTGTGTTCCTTCAGCAGATATGTGTTTTTGGGGACTGGGTCTCCCAGGCTGGGCTGGAAATCATAGAGATCCATTTGTCTCTGGAGCCTATTTCTATTGAGGACACGGTATATACCAGGCAGGAGGCTAGACGGTACTTCGTGGATCTGCCATCCTAGTGGTGGGGAAACTAACAGTCGACAGCAGTTTAGATATATAAAGAATACAGCAGTGTGATGGTAGGCTCAGAACTAGAATTTAACTGGCATGTGTACAGCCGGAGTTTATGTATAACTCTGGAACAGTGACGAAGCAGAGGGCAGATACAGTTCCCTACTTATGTCTGACTGAATGGGAGTCCACTCATGAATACTGAGCTGGCAAAGAGGGCCTGTTCTCGCCCAGGCCTGTCTTCATGCACGTGGTGGTTCCAGTTCAACCGGTCTCCCGTGGTTAACTGTAGACTTATTGGAACGTTTATGGCTCCCTGCTATTGGCAGTAGCTGGTGATGTCACTGATGTCCTTCCTGTCTCTTCGAGCCTATTTCCGCCTTGTGTCTGCCACTTGCCTGGCCACCAGCCCTACCGCTCCTAGGCTGGCTGATGCTGCTGGAGCCCCTGCTTTCTACAGTTCTTCTTTCTTCTCCTGTGGTGTGAGAATCGGGCTGTGCCCGGGCTGGTACTTGTGGATTCTATTTATACCTGCCGTGAAAAGGGGACCTCAAGGGGAGCCCGGGCTGGGGAAGAGAACGAGGCAGGACACTGAGCAACTGATGATGGACCTATCCCAGGGCCCTGGGTGCCTGCAGTGAGAGCAGAACTGATCCGTGAACCTCTCTTTTCTTGGGCTCTCTCCCCTTGTCAGTGCAGTAATATCAAGCCATGGACTGGTGGGGAAAGCACACGGCATCTCTTACCCAACCAGTAAGAGAGGCTGCCCAAGGATTCCGCTGCAGTGCTGTCTGATAGACAGGACCACAGTAGAAGCCAGTAGAGAGTCCAGCTGGGGACCAAGATCACCTGACTCACTGCTCCTGTCCTGCCACTCCTGCTGTTGTCGTCCTCCCTCTCCTGTCCTCATCCTCATCCTCTCTGGGTCACTTGAGTCTCTAATGTCTGTGTGTCCAGATGCTCATGTCCCACAGCCACACATTCAGCAAACCATCATTCAGGAAGGTAGGTGGGCCACTATGCTTAGATGGCAAGGACTTTATCCACTGAGCTGACCCTGCAGCCCCCAGATGCTGGCTTTTTTTTTAAGATGTGTTTATTTATTTATTTATACAGTATCCTGCCTATAGGTCAGAAGAGGGCACCAGATCTCATTATGGGTGATTGTGAGCCACCATGTGGTTGCTGGGAATTGAACTCAGGACCTCTGGAAGAACAGTCAGTGCTCTTACCTGCTGAGCCATCTCTCCAGCCCCCAGATGCTGCCTTTAACATGCTCACTGGCCTCATATTGTACCTATCAGAAGTGCATCAAGATGGGCTCATGGTAACATTTCACAGATGAAGAAGTGAAGGCTAGGGACCATAAAAAGCCCAAGCTGAAGCCACACTCACATCCCTGGAGCTCTTGGCAGTGAATGAGCACCTGGCCTTCTCTTAGGACGCACTGCTGGCTCCCAGTGATGCAGCCCCATGCTACAGAGCCATGCCGAGGGCCCGGGTTCTCAGCTCTTCTAACACTGCTGAGAGCAACTTCTCGGCCAGAACTTGTTTTCCAGCACAGAATCTACCTCTTTGAAAAGCACCACAGATATTGAGGTCTCTTATTTCTGCCTCTCTGCTGAGTTTTGTTTCCTCAGTGGGGAATCCAGGTTCCCGTTCTAACTGGCAAACTCAGATTTAAATTCCAGAGCCCATCTCAGACGTGACACCTCCACAAAGGGCTTGGGCGCTCTACTACTCTCAGCTAGGTGACTTAGCACTCTGTGCCCTGTTTTCCTGCTTATTAGTCTTGAGTTCCAGGCCCACATGTGGATTAAACATGTTAACATGCAGTGTGCTGAACTCAATACCATTGTGTGTGCTCAGTGAAAATCACTGATGAACTTGAACTTGCAGGATCCCTTACAGTGAATCATAGCTGTTGTCTGTCTTTTCAGAAGTTGCAACGGGAGACCTGAAGGTGATTCAGCCTGAGAAGTCAGTCTCTGTTGCTGCTGGGGATGCGGCCATTTTGAACTGCACTGTGACCTCCCTGAGACCTTTGGGTCCCATAAAGTGGTTCAGAGGAACAGAGCAAAGTCAACAACTAATCTACGCTTTCTCAGGAGAAAAGTTTCCTCGAGTTACAAATGTTACAGATACAACCAAGAGAAACAACTTGGACTTTTCCGTCCACATCAGTAACGTCACCCCAGCAGACGCTGGCACCTACTACTGTGTGAAGATAGATATAACAAAGTCCGACAAGAAATTTTCTGGAGGGGGAACAGTGCTCTATGTGCTTGGTAAGTAAGCCTGTGCCTTCTTCACCCCCTGATGTGTAGCAACAGGTCAGAGAACAGCATCCCCTGTCCTGTGAGTGTGGCTCACAGCAAGAGCAATGGGAGAGCATGGTCACCATCTGACCTCAACCTTGAGCAGATCAGAGAAGCCAAGGCCAGTTGTTTGCTCAAGGCTTAGTGCCAGCAAGTAAGAGGACATCTGCACCCCTCATCTGCCTGACTCACACCCCTCATCTGCCTGACCCACACCCCTCATCTGCCCACTGCACAGCCCTCTCTTTCCCTTCCACATGGGTCATGCTACCAGTGGGTGCAGTGTAGACCAGAATACAGATCCCAGCCAGGCTCCTTGCTGCCCAGGTGCTAAGCATCTCCACAGGTGAGCCAGGTACACAGTGGGTACCGAGGAAGTGCTGAGCCTTTTCACACATCACTTTCACAAAGATTCAGGATGCCCCTTCCATTCAGAACTTGAGGCCGGTTAGTGACAAGAAAACTTCTCCCAAATGTCAGTCAGGTTCTTATTCCATGTCAGGACACAAAAGGCCATTGTATAAATGGCTGCCTTTTATTCCAGCATCCAGAAATTCCACAGTTTATTGTAGTCGTCTGCTGGTAGATAGTTCACTTCTTCCTAGTTGTAGATTTTGAAAACAGTGCTGCCCTGGTTGGCTCATCCCACTTGTCTAGGATAGAGACACCCACTACAAGAGGCCTACTACATCACATAGTGTGTTCATTTTAACTTGTGTGCATGTTACCAGCTTCCCCTCCAGGTAGCAGCCAGCGCTCCTCACCATCCACCTCTGCACAGGAGCAGGGCAGGTAGCTTGTCCTGACTTTGCAAGTAGGACAAAGACACGACGCCAACTTCCCAGGTAGTGTGTCACTTGCCTAGGCACCAGCTAACAAGTGGCTCCCTGCCTCATGTCACATCTTTATCATAGCATTTTCTCCTTAAACCAGAGCTGTGAGTGTCCAGGGTGTGTTAGAACACTGGCGCCTTAAGAAGCCATGATGGATTACCCAAGACCTTGAAGTTTGGAGCAAGGTTTGGCTTCTGTCAAGTCCTCAGTCTCTCTCTTTATAAATGACAACAGTGATGGTCCCCATTCTGGGTTCTATGAGCATCAAGATGTTAACAAAGCCTTAGATGGGGTGTGTGTCAGGGTCATTACTGCGTATCAGAAGTGCAGTGACCAGGAGGACAGAGTCTGTCTTGAACCATATCCCAGATGAACCACTCCCTTGCCTGTGTCCTGGACAAACCCCTCCACATAGCACCTTAGTGGCCTCACTTGCCCATGACACTCGCACAGAGTATGTGGTCAGAACTGAAGCAGTGACATCATGTCAGACACTTAGAATAGTGCCTGGCCTGTAGGAACTGTCCCATCAGTAGGAACTGTGTTGAGCTGTGCCCATGTGACTTGGATGGGCCATTTTTTCTTCCCAGGCCTCAAGTGTTGGTGGGGTTGGGATGAGTTGGTAGCTTTCCATCTGTCTGCTTGCGTGACTCATCTAAGAAACTGAAAAACATCACACATCCCGTACCTACCGAAGAAATTGTGCTGTAATTGACTACACATGGACCTGAAGTGCATGTGCGTGTATGCGCGTGTGTGTGTGTGTGTGTGTGTGTGTGTGTATGCACACACATGTGTTGTCGTATCTGCATGTGCATGAGCAGAGGACTGAGAAGAATGTTTAGCGACCTGTTATATTATGTCCTGCCTTGTTCCCTTGAAACGGGGTCTCTCACAGATCTTGGCCCTAGGCTGGTGGCCAGCAGAGCCCCGTGATCCTTCTGTGTCCACACCACTCCCACAGCACTAGGGTTATAGGCACATACCATCGTGTCCAGCCTTTTTTAACATGGATTCTAAGGATTTGAACTCAGGTCCTCATACTTGCTCAGCAAGTACTCTTACCTTCAGATCCATCTGCACAGCTTGTATCTGAAGATTCTCACCACAGCCAGGCTGAGATACATGTCCTGAAATCACAGAAGAAATACTGTGGCTTTTATTTGTTCCCTGGCAAAGTTGGGTCCCGTGAAGCTGGTGCTCAAAACCCTTTTATGCCTTAGAACAGCGTGTGCTCTGGGTCCCAGTGATGAGCAGAATCATGTCCAGGAGCTGGCTCCAGAGGACTGGAGATGCAGCCCACAAAGCTCTGCCAGCCGTGCTCAGATCCCTAGGAGAGGGACCTGCCTGACTTATACACGGAACCAAACAAACCTCCCGTCTTCAGCTCAGACCCTCTCTGCCTCGATGACCCCCACCCCCAATACACAGACTCTTTCTCGGTGCTCCATGCTTCCTAAATGACTTATCTGAATGAAACACCTGTGACCCCACTGGGGTTCTGAAGCTGCTGGCCTAACTCAGGTCCTGAGAGGGATTACTACAAAAGAGGAAAGAGCCACAATGTGGTGGCTTTCTTGTGCCTTCTGACTGCCAAAGAATAAATGTGTAGTTTCAGAACTAAAGGTAGCAGTCATAGCTGCTATTTATTAAACACCTATTGTATGCCAGAAGTCATGTTTACATCACCTTCCCAGGGCGATGTTTTTGTCCACTTTGTGCAGAGGAAACACAGATGCTCAGAGGATTTTTAAAAAAATACTAAACTAATCATCTGAATGGAAGAGTTGAGTCTCACTCACTATCTACGTGCCTTTGACTAGTCTCACTATTCAGAGCCTTGTCCTATAGAAAGAGTTCATCCTAGATACACCTTTATGGGCTAGAGAGCGCAGAGGGAGCAACCAGTGTCAGGCTCCCAAGAACTCAGTAGATGGCAACGTCTTTCAGTACTCATGGGATGCCCAAATTAAAAAATGTTCAAGGCCCTCATCCAAGGTGGGGGAGACTTGGGTGTAGCCTACACACATCCTGCCGTCTATTTTAAGTCATCTCTGGATTTCTTATAATACCCGATATGATGCAAATGCTATGTAAATAGTTGTTTAGGGAATAGTGACAAGAAAAAAAAATCTGTCACTATTTAGTATAGATGCAGCTTTTTCGACAATATTTTACATTTGCGGTTGGTTAGCTTTAAGCACAGGGAGCCCCGGGAGTTGAGAGGATGGTGCTGCAGCCCTCCACCTCTCAAGAATCTTAAAGCTGCTGCTGTCTTGATGATATGGCTTCTTCAAGTGACACCTTCCTTCTGTGCCCTCAACATATTAGGTGGATATTAGGGAGCAAGTTATGTGTTCACACATGGAACAGTGGCATTTGCTGTCTGGAAATGGTGTTGGGTGATAATGAGCATTTGGATTAATACCCAAGGGACACCACCGCCCTCCTAGTCAGTCATGGGTGCTTTCAGGACCGAAGTCCTTCTGCTTGCTTGGTGGGGCTGCTCACTGTCTGCCTGGTAGCTGTCTGTCTCTTTAATTAGAAATCAAGGAACCACTTTGACTTTTTTTTCCTAACACACAGGTGATCTCTTTTTCCAACCGTAAACAAAAGCCCTTCAGATTTTTTTTTTTTAAAAAAATCTTTAGCCTCGCTCCCTTTCAAATGTGGGACTTGGCATGGGTGAGACCTACTAGGATGTGTAGAGAGAAAAGAAATGCCATTGAGTGAACCCCTAAGTTCTTACAGGGAGAACATAAGAATGAAGTCTAGGGCTGGAGAGATAGTTGGTAGTTAAAGAGTCTGTACGACTCTTACCAAGGCCCTCGTTCAGTTGCTGGCATCCACACGGTGACTCACAGCCACCTGTGACACCAGCTCCAGGGGATCCAGTGTCCTCCTCTGGCCTCTTCAGGGACCCGCTCACAAATAGACACATTTAAAAGAATTTTAATTTTTTAATAAAAATTTGGGTCAAGGTCAGATCCATGTGTCGTGTTTGAGAAGCATCTCTGTGTGTCTGTCACCCAAAGCAGAAAGCTCCCAGGGCCTCATTTCATCCTCACTGTGTCCAGAAAGGAGAAACATTGCCACCTGTTTCTCAGGCGTGGCTCTGGGAGGGGCTCACATCTCAGAGCAGCCACTGGGTTCCACCTTCGTGGCCAACCTACAGTGTCGTTTGTTTCCTGTGCTTCCGTCTGCAAACACTTTCTCTGGGTTGGCCAAGATTCCAGGAATGTGGTTAGGAGTAGTTCAAGCAAAGGATGAGGTAGGCCAGCCATCCCCGTGTGTGCCCAGATCATGGAAACCCTCAGTGCAGAGAAGACTTAGCTCTCGGGCCTGGAGCTCCTGGCCTTGCCTTACTGTCTGCCTTGCTCATTTCATGGAACCTTTGCTAAGGACAGGGCCGTTCCAGCTTTACCGGAATGAAGATTAATGGGTAGTGTCACCAGGCTGGAGGTACAGTTTAGTGTGAGAACATGTACTTAGTGTACAAAAGCCCGTGTCCAATCCCTAGAGAGCCAGTAGTGATGCTACTGTCTAGGCAGGTTGCTCACCCCATCTCTCCCTTCGCTTGGCCTTCACCATCGTATCTCTTGTCTATAAATGCTCCTCTAGCCAAACCTTCTGCACCGGTGGTATCCTTCCCAACAAGCAGGGTCACACCTGGGCAGACAGCGAACTTCACCTGCAAGTCTTATGGCTTCTCTCCCCGGAATATCACCCTGAAGTGGTTCAAAGGTGGGAAAGAAATCCCCAGCTTCCAGACCATCGTGGAGCCTGAGAAACAGAGTATCTCCTACAACATCTCCAGCACAGCCCAGGTGGTCCTGCGCTCCGAGGACATTCATTCTCAGGTCATCTGCCAGGTAGACCACAACACCTTGGAAGGACGCCCTCTTCGTGGGATTGCTAACTTGTCAGACATCATCCGAGGTAGATGTCCTGGACTTCTAGCCCAAACACACAGCAGCCATTAATTACCCTATGACTAGCACCGTACTGGTAGTTGCGTTTACTTTACCAACAGCAACTCCAGTTGCTGGGCACCTAGTGTGAGCCACACCCCCCTTCCCTGGTACTTTCGTTTATTTTGCTCTTGTACTTGTATTCCCACTCCATGCCAGAAGCTGCATGCATCGACTTCATTCGTTATCACCCTAACAGTAGCTACCAGTGCCCAGACCAGGCATCTTCTGTGCTCTGGGAGCCCAGCTTACTGACTCCATTCCCATTCAGATCTACGGTGTTTGAGTGCCTGATGCATGCATGGCAGTCCTGTGTCCGCTATGGTGGGAGCGGCTCAACTCTGCAGGCCCCTCCTCTGCGACTTAAGGTTAGAGCTTCTGCCTGTACTGTTTCAGTTTCTCCCGTCCTGGATGTCACCGAGCAGTCCACAAGGGCAGGGAACCAGGTGAACGTCACCTGCCAGGTGCAGAGGTTCTACCCCAACAAACTCCGGCTGACCTGGCTGGAGAATGGAAACGTATCACGGACAGACGAGGCTTCGAATGACACAGTGAACAGGGATGGGACCTATAACTGGACAAGCTGCCTCCTGGTGAACACATCTGCCCATAGAGAGAACGTGGTGGTCACATGCCAGGTGGACCATGATGGGAAGCCAGCGATCGCCAAAAACTATACCGTGAGGGTCCTGCACCAGAAGGAGCAGGGCATGGACGCTACCCTTGGTGAGGCTTCCACTCCCATTGACTGGCTTTTTTTTTTTTTTTTATTTTATCTTGATGTTATCTGTTTTTAAATGTTAAAGGCATATGTAATGCTTATCATAGGACAGTCTAGAAGTCTATAAACTAAGCACAATTTTAAAGTGGGATCCTTTTCTCTCATACCCCTAGAGTCAGCACTGTTCAGAGTTTGGTTCCTATCTTGTTGTGTCTTTCGACACAGTGTGCCAAAGATGAGGGAAGGAAAGAAGGCCGGTCTTTGCTTGCATCCTGCCTCCTGTCTACTTCACATAACAACTGTCCCCGTGGTTCCTCCCTACCCTTCGCTCCTTCTGGCCTCTGCTCCTTGCCCTGTACTTGTTTGTGCCCCCTCCACTTCCTGTAGATGCTGGTGGTTTGGCTCAAGGACGCCAGTACTGCCAAGGGCATCCTCGTTCACACTGTCCCCAAACGGCTGTTTCCATGGCTGTTTCCAGGCCAAGGTGTGTGTGTCTAGGACAGTGCCATGCTCCACCGTTCTGTGACAGCGCACCAGCAGTGTCACCTCAGCCCCTCCGCGTGCTGTCAATCAAGAGCCCTTCTTTTTGAAAGTGGCCACATGCACTAGCTTTGTGGCTGTGTCCCATGGTCTGTCCCCGCCACAACCGATGCTTTGTACATAGCAGAGGCTCTGAAGGGAACAGAACAGGGGCCATTTTCCCGCTCCATCCTTCAGAGATGACTCAGGAAACCCTCAGACCCACGTTGTGCTCCTTTGAAACCTTCGAGGTTCTTATAGGATGCATAGAACTGGCAGGTAGGAAATGGTGACGTCCGCACTGGCTCTATCGCCAACTTGCTGGGTGATCTTGGACCAGTCGGCGTCTCTCTCTGAGCCTCTGCTGTTGTGAACATGCTGAAAGGGAATAGATTTTGTCCCTCAGTTGGTAGGGGCCATGACTGTCTTCCTGAACCCTGTGGCATCGGAGCACACGAAGCATAGCAGGGAATAATTAAAAACCTTGAGGGAGGATGAAAGGTCGGGCAGGTGCTTTGTCAGGTCATCGTGGTGCTGTGGAACAAGGTAGACATTAGTGCTGGCCTCAGTAGTCGAGGAAAGGGCAGGGGAACACAGTTCCACCAATGCAGGTGAAGACGAGTTGGGGCCCTGATTTGAGTTCACGTCTCTGTGTCACGGAGCCCTGCTCTTGACAGTACCGTTCTATGGCCTAGGACCTGCCTGGCCCGTGCCGTGAGCTCCTGCCACAGACACACACACTGCGGGTTAGGTCCTGGGCACAGAGAGTGTGGAGCCCTGAACGCTCTGCAGAGCCGTGCCAGTAGCCCGTCCTCCACTCTCAGACAGTCGCCGGCTTGGGTTCCAGGGCATCTGTCCTGCTGCTGTGGCAGATGAGAAGGGATGGGCTTGCATTCCTCAGGGTTGGGAGAATGGTTTCCGCTGGTGACCTGTAGCTGCTTTGTCTGTGACTGCCAGCAGCGTGTGTTCTGTAGTGCTCGTGAGAGACCTGCATGGGTGGGTAGGCAAGCCTAGACATCTGAGGAGAGCCAGCCAGATGCCCGCAGCTATGGAGGACAGGTGAGAAGGAGGCGGGCTTTTGTGTTTTCTGTTTCTGAGTTGCATACATGAAGTCCTTCTTGCTTGTCCTCAGGTAATGACCCTTCCGGCAAGAACATCTTCATCGCGGTGGGCGTGGTGTGCGCCTTGCTAGTAGTCCTGCTGATGGCAGCCCTCTACTTCCTCCGGATCAAGCAGAAGAAAGGTGGGTGGGATCTCTTCTTTCTCTCCGGGTGGTTCTTCTCACAGGATGGCCACTGGCATCTTAAGGGTATGTAACTTCCAGTGACAAGAAAACCAGAGGGTAGCCCTGGGGTTGATGGAACAGCTTCACCATGCTGGAATCTAGGAGAATCGCTCCTCAGCCTTCTTCCCTCACTGCCTCGGGTCTCGTGTTCTCATGGGACGGCTTCTAAGGTGGTAGGAAACAGGGAACTGCCAGGGTGACAAGGGAGACCTCAGGAACTCTTCCTGCCAGCCTCAGAGAGGAAATGCCTGAGCAGCCTCCAGCCTTCCATGTCCCTTACATATGTGCAGGCTCCATGTTACCAGATTCCCCAGTTAGTTCTCCCAACTATCCCCAAGGGAATGACAGTGGGAGAGACAGCAGAGTTTCCATGTAAGATATTAGGCAGGTGCCTGGATACACAGTGCTTAATAAAGGCAGCTCCTACAGCCAGCGTCATATATAAGCCCCTCCCAGGAGAGGCCCCTCACAGCAGCAAGGTACATGACCTTAAACTCCACAGGAGATGTAACATGAGTGCCGGCTTGTTGGGGTATGTTACAAGGAGAAGGTGCGAGTTCCAGGCCAGGCATCTTTCCCTTGGGTGTGCACATGTGTATATGTGTGGTTATGGCCGTGCAAGGCCTCTAGCCCTGAAGCCAGCAAACAGTCTCCAGACCTTTGTTTCAGACTCATCATCCCAGCCCCCACCGGACTCCCTCCCCCCATCTGAGATTGCTTCAGTGTTGTATTTGGGCCACAGTCACAGTAGAGGAAACTGGCAGAGGGCACACAGTTCTTCTAACTTGTTTGAGGGCACACCGCTAATCAGGGGCACAGATTTGGAGGGTAGCTAAGAGGCTCAAGTGAACTGCCATGTAAGAGCAGGTCTGCTACATTCTGGGACCCACCGGTACACATCTTCTTCCCTCTGCTGGAGGAGGCTGTTTTGTGCTGGTTTTCCATAATGTTTATAGATGTAACATTTTATCTCAACTCAGCACACCCCTTTATATCCATTTGAAACCATTTGAAACTCCGAGGTTTTCTGTTTTATGTTCTGTTCTCTTTGCTGTTAAAAAATGCCTCATGAACCACAGCCTGAACACAAGCACCATCCAGAGCTGCCATTCTGCAGCCGTGTGTCTGCTTAGGAGGGACAGAGTGGCCCACCAGTCTCCCATTCCTTCGGCACCCCTCAGGCTGTGTCCCACAGTTTCTGCCCCATCTGGACCAACTCATCTCTGAAACAGCAGCCACGCCTCAAGTCCTGTCTGAGGACTTGAGCTCTCGGTTATTTTTTTGCCGGACTATTTCCAGAGTGCCTTGAGAGAGTCACACAGGAGGGGCCCCTGCTCCACTCGAGGTAGATATTGGTGAAGTCCCAGCCGAGGTAGGCATTGGTGATGTCCCAGCCATCCTTCCGGAGGCCCGGCACCAAGTGTGTGCAAGGTGCTCATGGGAGCTCACTGTTGTGTGGCTCAGCATCCAAGCCTAAGAGATCAGGGGAGACATAGCAGCCTGGAGGACTGTGAACACAGGCACTGAGAGGTGAGTGTGTGCAGAGCCCAGCTCTCAAACACAGACTCAAGCAACAGGGAGAGCCAAAACGTGATCCCCCCGGGCCCACAGTACCCCTGATGTTTTGCATGTAATAATGCAATCGGTTCAAACCACAGACCTTGGGACTCTCACTGACACAGTTTACAGATGAGGAAATTGAGACATGGCAGCATTATAAAACTTCTTCAGAACTTCACGGTGGGTAGGCCAGAATTCGGATCCAGAGGACACATTAGGGTCTCCTCTACCCTGAAGAGCAGCCACCCTTCTTCCCTATCATGACTGCATTCAGGGTGAAGGACTCCATTTTACCTGCCAGCTCTGTGTTTCTGAGAAGATACCATTGTCCAGTTTAAAATGAAGACAGTCTTTGTCCTTAGACTCCCAAAGGTGGCTTTGCTCAGTACTTTGGTCCAGAGCCCCATTCAGCTGCATCCCCTGTCTACCCCTGCTCGCCTGCAGATTCAGGTCCTGGGATGCCTCAGCCTGCCCCGCCCAGCAGCCGGAGCAGCCGGAGCTCGTCATCCTTGGGTGGCCTGTGCAAAGTGCAGTGCTGAGCCTGTCTCAGCACATATTTTATTTTTTAGTTGCAATTTTATAACAAAATGGGAATCAAACTGTTGCAGATATAATCCCCCAGAGATAATCTCTGGGATGCCCTTCCTATACCACAGACCTAAAAACCGCTGACCCAGACAGCTGCTTTCTTGGAAAGCGAGGATGGGTTAATAATGAATGCCATGGCTAGCCCTGTGAGCTAAAGATGCTCAGAGACAGGAAGTGATCCACCCAGGATCACACAGCAGGTTAGTGGGGGAGCAGGCCCAGGGTCCACATACACATGTTTCAAATTCATTCCTGTTTGAATCTACTCTTCAATAGTGTGGGACCTAAGAGGGGTCTGCCAGAGTTATGTGCTTGAATGGAGAGGGGGCCCAGAGGAGAGTAGGAAGCCACCTGGGCCCTCGAGGGCTGATGGCTGTGCATGACCGTTGGCATCTGATAAAAGTGGAACGCGGTAGCCTAGCTTAGCTCTGGAAGGTGGTGGATGAGAGTAACCCATCTACTGGCTTGACATTAGGCCTTCCCTGAGCTAATTCTCCCCACATCCCTGAGGCAGATCTTGGCTCAAGGAAAGTTACAGTTTCTGGTTAAATAACCACTTTTTCTTTTTCTCTTTCAGCCAAGGGGTCAACTTCTTCCACAAGGTAAGCGCTTCTGTGGGCCAGGATACTATCGTAGTCGCGTTTTTATTCTAACCTGTGTGTACACGTTTGTGTACGTGAGCGTGGACGTGTGTGTGCCACGGCATGCGTTGGAAGGTTGGTGAATACCTTGGTCCTTGCCTCCACTTTGTTTGAGGGGGGCCTCTGGTTCTACTGTGCATGCCGGGTTAGCTGGCGGATGAACTGGGGACTCCCCCGTCTTTGTCAGCCATCTCCCCTTAGACGTGCTGGGGTTACAGCTGCTTCCTCTGCTTTATGTGGGTTCTGGAGAGCTGAATTTGGTTTTCGTGTGCAGCAGACCCTTCCCCATGGAGCCATCTCCTCGGACCGCCCCCTTTTTCTTAGTTGTCTGACAGACCCCAAAACACTGTAAATCACTGACCCTCGCTTCTTACCTGTCCATAGTACTTTCTCTCTTGTACCCTGCTTGTTGGGGCTATTTACCCTTAAAGTATAATTATTTTAATTTATTAAACTGTTTTATTATTGCCTTAAAGAAATAGGTTTCAGGGCACATTGGCATTGGTAGCTCGAGGCCTTTTCCTACTACCCAGTGACAGTGATGGGGCTAGCCTCCTTCCTTACGCCCGCTATACTCATGAAGCCCTGTGCACTCCACGGGACTCTCCAGGCCTTAGTCATGGTCCCCTCCTTCCTTCTGCCAAGCATCTCACTAGGATGTAGCTTAAGGACCTGCTAGGGTGGTAGGGGAAGTCCTTCTGAGGTCACAGCCTGCTCAGGAGCTCAGATGGTGACATCACAGGACGCCTTAGTGCAGAAGTTGTGTTCAAGGGTATTGGAGCTTGTTCAAGGGGGTTCCAGAGCTCTGTTCGAGAGGCTGGGGTACAACCCAGGCTCGGACTTGGGGAGGAAAACAGCCATCCAGAGTATGGTGGCTCCAACACAGCAGGGGTGGGTGGCCATGTATGACTTAGGCATAGGAAGCCACAGTCTCTGAAGAGACCTGTGAGCAGGGACCTGAAGTCAGGGGCTCTGGGGCAGGCTTAGCATGCCTGGACAAGAGAACAGGTAGAGCCAAGCCTGGAGTGAGGAAGCCCAACTGACGGGGGCACAGGAAGGCGTGAGATAAGGAAATGCACAGCCTAGTGAGAGTCACCCCTTTTGGAGAAAGGCTTTTCTGGCTTGTAAGATGGGTCCTGGTGCTCCCCTAGCGTAGGACAACACCCCATAATCTGCTGTGTAAGTGTGCCAGCGTGCTGTATAAAACCTTAAATGACTCCGTGTTGGTTTGGGTGAGCTTGTAGCATCACATGAGCTGTGCGGGTCTCTCCTTCCGTCCCTCGTCACTCCCTCTCTTCTTCCCTTCGTTCTGGAGTCCAGGATTGAACTGAGGGTCCAGAGTGAAAGCCAGTACTACAGAACTTGACTGTAGAAGGACTCGGGTGGTTCCGGAGAGATGTGGTCTAACTTGTGTTTTACAAGAATCGCCTAGATGACCAGGAAATGGCTGCATTGGTCTAAGCAGATGCTGAAAGTTTGGGCCAGGTGCAGTGTGGGCTAGGATGTGGTCAGGTTCTGGTTGTATTCTAAGGACAGAGCCAAGAGGACTTGCTGGTAAAGGGAATGTAGAATTAAAGGCAACTCACGTTTGGGCAGTGAGGAGCCTGCCCTCGCTGGAGGACCATCAGTCGTGGGAATGGCGGCTTCACGTAGCAGGAGCACCTCGCCTACCTCCAGAGGCTCTGGGGAGCTTCTCCCACCTCGGTCTGCCCACTGAGAGAGTGCACAAAGCTCTTGGGATAAGCCTTGCCTCCTGTTTGGTCTCCCTAGGCAGCCTCTGACCCTGTCCAACCCTCCAGCCTCTGCCCCTGAACATGCCATCGGTGTACCACCCCCGCCACCCTCAGGAATCCCATCTGCCTATCTCGTTCTTACACCTGTCCCAGCCTTGTCCAAGGTCAAGGCTTGGCTCTCTTCTCTCCCTTCTCTACTCAGACTCCTTCAGTTGCTCTCTGTGGGCCTTCAAGGTTAAACCCAAAGGTCTATGGCCAGGCCACTGTGCCTACACACTGTTCTGGACAACCTTGAGGCTTCCCGCTGGGCTGGGCTGGGCCGGGCGTCTTTTCTCTCCTACCACTTATGGGGCCTTGGATTTCCTGCTAACCCAGACACTCCTGCTTCTTCCACACAAGCACCCTCCAGGGGTTCTAAAGGATATGGAGACACTGTGCGTCCTGCAAATGATACCTCTGGAATTGTGCACCAAAGTAGCTAGTGTCGACATCTTTCTTTCATCTGCCCCCTCCTAGCCTTCCTCAGTGAGGCCAGTACTTCCTCATGGGTCAGGAGGCTTTCTGTGAGCCTCCGTTGTCCCGCATGAACATTCTGGTATGTATGAAGTAGCTCTAGTCTGACGACATTTTCCTGACCTTACGTCTTGGACACAGAGACTATGTCCCTCCTGTTCACAGCCAGCAGTTCCTCCATCCCTTGGTGTCATCCCTGGGATGGAATAAGTTTTTCGTAAAGGCTTGTTGAATAAAAGAATGCTGAATAATTGTCACCTCCTCCCCCCACACACACATACACACACACTCACCCCTGCAGAGCCTGTGAGCTCTGAGCCCCTGAATCTCCTTCCCATTGGGTTTCCCTCTTGTCTTTCTTTTCCTTTCCTATCCTTGTTGAAGGACAGTGGCTCCCAGACTCGAGTGTGGCCGAAGCCTCGAGGGCTGTTCAAACACAGACCCAAGCTGAGCCTCTGATTCCGACTCCACGCCACCCTCTGGGGGCCCCTGTCTCAGGAGGTTATTATAGTCCCCCTTCTGTGGTTGCGGCAGCCAGGATCTGAGAACTGATGTAATGCCGGGCTGCCCCAGGCCTGTGCAGGATTTCTGGTACTGACACCTGCATGTCCCCATTGATGCTGTGCTGCCTCCTGTCCTCTGTTCCTTCCTCCAGCGAAGCAGGACATTTTCTGCCCTTTCATATCATTCCAGTGTGAGCCTACCCAGGGAGCGAAATCACTAGCTTCTTTCATGTCTCTAGACCAAAGTGATGGTGGGTAGCAAGCCTTAATGGCGGTTTCCCGGGCAGCAGTGGCTCTGGCCCAGCATGGCATCAAATACTTTCTGAAAGACACTGGTGCTGGTGTAGGAGACAGCCTAGCACCTCAGGGAGGGTGACGGGGATCCTGCATCTTTGAACTCAAAGGCCCCTGCAGGATGCTGGCTGGCCACGGGCCCAGCTTTCTGACATCCAGGCAGAACACTCTTATCCCCGCCCACATCGGAGTGTTGTCTGCTCTTTTATTGGACCCTGGGGTTCGTTTGAATGGCCACTGTTGAAATGTGACACTTTCGCTGCGTTTATTCTCAGAATTCCAGGACTACCTCGATTGTTCATTTATTTGTTTGGATTGAGCTCAGCCTGGAGCCAGACTTGGGGAAATTCAGTGAGAAAACCATTCATTCAGCAAGTATTCATGGAGGAGTAAGAAACCCGAGCTAGCGCAGGACTAGGTGCTAGGGTTTCATCGCCCTTACCGCGCTAACTAGAAGCTTAATAATCGACGCGCAGTCAGAGCTAGAAAAGGTGGAAGGAGGCAGAGCAGAGGGGTGATCAGGGAGGACTTCCCTACGGAGGCAGCATTTAGAAGCCAGCTAGAGAAGAGACGCTCTAGCGTGGGGCTGTTGGGGCCGAAGTACACTAGACAAGGAGGAGCTAACACCAAGGCTCTGAGGCAGGGGTGTGGATGAGGCTAGACTAGCTAGAGCGTGTGGACGGAAGCCACAACAGGGGTCAGGAACAGGCTGTGCACAGCCTCACCCGTCAGGATGTGGAGGCGGACTGCACTGTTTGGTAAGGGTTCAGTATGGAAAGTAATTTCTTCCTCCTCCTCCTCCTTCCACTTCTCCTCCTCCTTCTTCTTCTTCCTGGTTTTCTTTCTCCTTCCCCTTCTTTTTTGTTTTGTTTCGCGATGGGAGTCTCAATATAAAACCCAGGCTGGCCTTGAACTTGAATCCCTGTCTCAGCCTCCTGAGTACTGGGATTATAGGGACGAACCATTATGCCTGACTTCCTCTTATGCATTATAAAAGCGAGAAATGGAGGCAGGGAAGCCTGGGTGCCTGGGACCAGCAACATAAGATGACCAAGTAGCCGAATTTGACGTCACTTTTGGAGATGGCCAATTCACCTTATAATGGAAAAGGGAAGCAGCCAGGACGAGCCCCACTCTAATCTGAGCCCAGGATGGGTAATGATGCCTCCATGTTTTAAAACAGAGCGGACAGATGCTTGCAGTGTTGACTTCTGCTCTGAAAGACGGGAACGGTCTCCTGAGAACAGGGCTCGGAAGTTCTGTGAAGGCTCAGATAAGGCTGTTTAAAATAGGGTTTCAGCCGGGCCCAGTGGTCCATGCTTTTAATCCCAGCACTTGGGAAGCAGAGGCGAGTGGATTTCTGTGAGTTCAAGGCCAGCTCAGGCTACACAGTGAGACCCTGTCTCCAAAGAAAAAGTGTTAAAATAGGATTTCAAAGACCTGAAGAGAGAGTTGTCTGTGCAGAGGCCTTGGGGCCGTTTGATGGGCGCTAGCTGCAAGGTCGGGCGCCTGCGCCTATGTGGTAAGGCAGCATAGCAAAGAGGAACAGAAAACAGACATGAAGATGTAGAGGAAGACGTGAGGTTGTCAGAGAGAAGCAGTCCAGCTAACTCAGCACTGTTGGTGAAGCCTTCCAGCAGGAAAACACACGGCGTAAGTCTTAAAGGATGCAAGTTAACAAGAGAAAAAGTAGTTAGGAACCTGTGCTGGCTAGGTTTTTTGTTTGTTTGTTTGTTTGTTTGTCAACTTGACACAAACTAAAAGTCACCTGAGTAGAGGGAGCCACAATGAAGAAAATGCTTCCAAAGGTCAGGGAAGGCAAGCCTGTAAGGCATTTCTTTAATCAGTAATGGATGGGAGAGGGTCCAGCCCATTGTTGGTGGTGCCATACCTGGTGGTCCTGGATTCTATGAGAAAGCAGGATGAGCAAGCCACGAGGAGCAAGCCAGTAAGCAGCACTCCTCCACGGGCTCTGCAGGATCCTGCCCTGCTTAAGTTCCCATCCTGACTTCCTTCAGCGAGAACGGTGATGAGGAAGCGTACCCCTAAGAGACCATTTCCTCTCCAGGTTGCTTTGGTCATGGTGTTTCATCACAGCGGTAGAACAGAGTCACCCAAGGCTACTGCTGAAGCAGAAAATGCAAAGCAGCAGTAACCCTCATGCATCGTCAGGGTGCAGGCATGGGACCGAGTAAGGGTGGTGAAGTGAGCAGACACAGCAGACCCCGGCGGGGGTGGGGGTGTTGGGGGACGCGGTGGTGATTGGCTATGAACCAGACAAGCAATGGGCACTGCAGAGGGTGGGAGCTAGTGACTGGGGAGAGAGTGGCATGACCCTCCTATCGGTTGTGTCCTGGAGCCTAGAGAACTATTTGGCCACCTGGGACACTTTAGGATCCAAGCACTCGTGACAGCGCTATCAAAAACCCTGCTGCCAAGCCCCGTTGCTTGCTCGTTCCGACATTATTCATGCTCACGTGCCCCAAGTCCCTGGCTTGGAAATTTATGTAACCCCTGCAGAACCAGTGGCTCCAGCTTGCCCTTCACCTTCGCTGTGACCCTCCAGGGAGCCAAGCCTGGGCTCTGACTGCAGAATCAGGGGCATGCACGGTTGTTGTTCATAAAGCAAAGCATTTTGGTCTTTCTTCTTCCTTTTCTTTTAACAGCGCTACATGGGTGTATTTATAATATAGAACATTTGGGAGATATGGGAAACTAAAACAAAGATGCTCGGAAGACCACTGCTATTAACATTTCTTTCCAGTTTCCCACATACTTTTTAGCGGGGGTACTTCATAGAGATTTGATTTCTCACTCATTTTAGTGAAAGCATTTGTAACTTAAGGGAAAAAGAAAACCTCTCAGGACTGGAGACATGACTCAAATATGCCACTTTATTAGCATGAGCAGGGCAGTGGGTCTTTTCCCCAGCCCCACAAAAACACCGCTTCTCTCATCTACTTTTTAAACACGAAATGGTTTGTTTTATGCTAATCCCCCACCCCCGAACCACTGCCCATTGGCAAAGTACCAGACTGTGAATTTATTTCCACATCTTGTCCAGGGACGTGCCTTTGTATGTTGAATCCCCCAGAAAGGCCCAAGCATGGGTCAAAAGATGGGATCATTATCCATGCTACTTCTCAGAGGCTAGTCCTGGCTCGCCCCCACCCTGCCCCACCCCAGCAGTGCGTGGAAGTACCTCTTCATCCCACCTCCCTCGCTGTGCACCTTTTCCAGCATCATTTTTAAAGATCCTCCCAACAGGAGCCTTTTAAACTGTGAGCGTGCCATTGTTTAGAATTCCCTCAGTGAGACTGGCTCCTGGGTCCAGACATTTGATAAGCAGTTATGGTCCCTCCCCCACCCATGTAGGAAGTAGGGCCTGGATGTTATTCTGATTGATTTGCATAAGCTCTTGAGATAGATATTTTTATCTGTGTCTCTTTCCGTTTTAGGTTGCACGAGCCCGAGAAGAATGCCAGGGAAATAACCCAGGTACAGTCTTTGGTGAGCTGCCCTTCCTGGGAAACTTGGGGTGTGATTTCCTTGCTTCAGCCGGAGTTGCAGATCTAGTTCTAAATTAAGACTCCGAGGGTAGGGAGGATCTGTGCATTTCCTGAGTCACCCACGAGTCCTCTGCACCCTTCTCTCTGCTCCAGCCACAGTCTGGGGACGGCTGGTTCTCTGTTAGCCATGGCACAATTTCCAAAGAGCAAAGTGTCCCAAGTGAATGACGCCCTGGAGTCAGACTGCAGCTTCCTTTGTGTTGTTCATCCCTGCAACTCACTGCCACCTCCTTGTAGCCCGATTCTTCCACGGCCTCTCTCGCCTCTGTGGAGGAGGAAAAGCCCCGTGTCACTGACTACCTGGGCTCCAAGGGCACCTTCCTTGACCTGGTGGCTTCTCCTCCTTCCCCCACTGATAAGGAGATTTTATAGGCAGCATTGTTAGTGTATATCCCAGACCCCTGAGCCCCACTGTCTCTGTCCAACATGACAGCTCTGGGCACACTGGGGCCCTCCGAGCCTAGTAATAAGACAAGCCCTATCCTAGACTTGGAACGAAAACGCCAGCTTTCCTGCCATTCCCAAGGCAGCTGACACCACTTTAGATGGAATCTGCTGACAGAGCGAGGCTGGATGAGATGGTGTTTGGAGGCCGGACACCGTGGTTTGCTGTCCCAGCCCCTACCAGCCCTAGGCATGCGCTGAGTGGTTATCAGCAAATGTAGAACAATTTTAATCATGGCAACGAGAACCCTTTCCCCCTGTTATTTTGTCTTCACGCTTCCTTCTGGAATCTTCTGGATAAAAGATGACGGTGAGAATTAGTTACTGAAGCCTGTAGAAAGTCACATCCCAAGACTTACTGAGTATGCAACTAAGTGCCCGGTCCTGGAGCAAGGTGGCCAGTTTTCTCCCTTGCAGCCAGCAGATTTTGGGCTCCCAGCACCAGCCACCATACCTTGCCAGGGAGGGACACCAGTTCAGTCACCATGATTTCCCAGAGAACAGTGAATATCTGCGGGGCTCAGGGTACCACCCCTTTAAGATCCAACAGGCTTGAGTTCTTTTTTTAACTGAGTGACTTAGCCCAAATTATTGAATTTTCATCTACTCCCTAGGTCACATTCTTCCCGAGCAGAGTTGTAGTCAAGCCCAAGTGAAATGACCCTGACTGTATAGCTCCGTCCATCTAGCCACCCATCCGTCCTCCATCCATTTATCTTACCATCCATCCATCCTGTCACTGTGGCTTGGGCTTCTGTTGCTACCCTTGTCTGCAGTTTAACAGACACCCAGTCAAAAGTTGTGGAATGACCATGTAAATGAAGATGCTTTCCCGATCTTCTGGGAGATCACATTTACTAAGGTTGCAAAATACAGTCTTCGGCAGTAGATCCGATGATAGGCCCAGCCAGAGGAGGCGTTGAGAGCAGGCTAGAGCAGAATTATCCGTGGTGCCCTGGGCCTCTTATAAGGAAAAGTGGGATATTCCAGGCCAAGGAAAATGGGAGACTAGAGTTCCAGGTGGTTCCACCTAGACATGAAGTGGGCATATGAGATAACCACTGTAGTGTTTCCGAAGACCCTTCAGGCTCCATGGGGAAGAAGGTGGACTGGGAGGAGAAAGACCGGAAATAAAATTGCATTGGCAGGAGATGGGCCTGAGTTAAGACTGAGTCCGTTGGCAAAGTAGCAGGTAGACTTTAGCCAGTTGATGGGTGAGCAGGCTAGGGCTCCAGAATGACTTTCTCTCTATGTCTTTTAGATCCAGGACACAAATGACATCAATGACATCACATATGCAGACCTAAATCTGCCCAAAGAGAAGAAGCCTGCCCCCCGGGTCCCCGAACCCAACAACCACACAGAATATGCAAGCATTGAGACAGGCAAAGCGCCTAGGCCAGAGGATACCCTCACCTATGCCGACCTGGACATGGTCCACCTTAACCGGGCACAGCCAGGCCACAAGCCTGAGCCATCTTTCTCAGAGTATGCCAGTGTCCAGGTCCAGAGGAAGTGAATGGGACTGTGGTTGGCTCTAGGGCCCATAGCCACAAGTTTTCTTGTCCCACATGGAGTGGCCATGGTGAGGACAACCCTAGAAGGCCAGATGGCACAGGTCCTAGGACCAGGAGTAAGGGTGGCCTTTGTCTTCCCTCCTTGGCTCTCCAACACTTCCAGGGCAGTCATGTCCCCTTCTTCTGGAGGCCGGTGTTGCAGAACCAGAGGGGGGACTGGAGAAAGCTGCCTGGAACCCAAGAAGTGTGCCTCGGCCTTCCACACATGGGTCTGGATCCTGGTCTTGGCAACTCCGGGTTACTTCCTTGATGATCCAGAGCCTGGTCTCCTGTGTGGAGAAGAGCCCCCCACCTCCACCCAACTTGGGCTGTGGGGGCAAGAACCCCTTTAGATCAAACTGCCCCATCCGCGGAAGAACTACACCAGGAGACTGCAAGTTTCCAGCCAACAGTGCTGGCCTCCCACCCGCCAGGCTGACTAGCCCTGGGGGAGAAGGAACCCTCTCTCCTAGACCAGCAGAGACTCCCTGGGCATGCTCAGTGTGGCCCCACCTCCTTTCCAGTCCCAGCTTGCTTCCTCCAGCTAGCTCTAACTCAGCAGCATCACTCTGTGGACACCTGTAAATTATTGAGAAATGTGAACTGTGCAGTCTTGAAGCTAAGGTGTTAGGAAATTTGATTTGTGCTGTTTGGTTGTTGTTAGGTCTATTTTTTTCTTTTCTTTTTTTTTTCTTAAAACAACAGCAGCAGCATCTTGACTCTTCGTCATGTGTTGAATGGTTGGGTCTTGTGAAGTCTGAGGTCTAACAGTTTCTTGCTCTGGAAGGATTTTCTTACAGCAGAAACCGATTTTTCCAATCCCCAGAACTCTGAGGACCAAAAGGGATCTCTCAGCTGCTACTTTCAGGCACTCAGCCTCACTGGGACGAACTGGGCCCTGTTCTTACACAGCTGCAAGGCTGGCTGACCCTTTGCCTCCATGGCTGCTGTGGTAAGTGCAGCCTTGTCTGACCCAATGCCGACCTAATGTTGGCCATTCCACGTTGAAGGGAGAAGGTCAGTGACAGCCTCCTTTACTCACAAGCACCTCAGAGGCACGCAGAGGAAAGGGATGCCCAGCCAGCAGCCGGCGTTTCCAGCACTCTGACGTAAACAAGGCAGGAGGAGTCCATTATTGCCGTCAAACCTCAGCAGGATCCCACTGGGACAGACCCTGGTCGTACCTGTGATGACACAGCTGTAAGCCAGGGCAGACCCCTCTGTCACTGGCTAGGGAATCTTGGCAGAGGCTCTGCCTGACCCACACCCTTCAAACTGGATACTGGGACCTGCCTGGGCCCATGGCCAAGCAGATGTGACAACCCTGGTTATCTGGTCTTAACATGTAGCTCAGCAAGTTAAGGCGCTAATTAATGTCCCTGATCCCTGGGTAGCCCTGGCTCAGGCTATTCAAGTATGAAGCTAAGGCAACCTGCTTGTTTCTATAGGTGCAAGGGGGGCGGGTTACCAGGAACTCAGCAAGGACCTGACTCTCTGGGGTTGGTGACCTGATACTTCCAATGATGGCATGCAGGAGTTCGCTGAGCCAGTAGGCTGTGTTGACAGCACTGGGCCAGCAAACCAGAACTTGTCTTTGGTATCTGGGACCTATGGTAGCCCTGCCATCTTCTTGGACTGTCTTCTATTTCCAAAGGATTGATTTGTAAGCCTCCACCCACTTCTCCTCTGCCTAGAGATGGCACATGCACACGTGAGTACACACACACAGGTGCAAAGACCAGTTCAAAGAATAGCCTCTGGCTGACATCCTAATTTTGTCTTAGGTTTTTTTTTTGGAGGGAGAAAGGGAATGAGGCAGGGAAAGTCTATAGCTATAGCTTTAGCCAGGCAGCCTGGTGGGCCCCCACACTTATGTATGAAACTCTGGTACAAAGAAGAGGGGGGGTGCGTCCTGTGAGAGGAGTGGAATCCGGTTTATCTGTAGACCAGATGAGAAGGAAACAGGCTCCATTTTGTACATAGTTGCAACTTAAAATTTTTGGCTTGCAAAATATTTTTGTAATAAAGATTTCTGGGTAACAACAATGCTTTTGGGTGTTGCAATCCTTGTCTTTGAGACCCTGTCCTTGGAGCCTGCCAGTTGCCCATCCCCTGGAGCTGGGGATGAGGTTGTACTGCCAAGGCTTCAGAACATTCCGTGTAACTCGGTCCCCTCCAGGCCACACAGATGTAAAGGTTCTGTCCCCTTGGCGCGGAGGGAGTCACGGCAGTATTGGTTGTGCTGAAAACCCAGACGCAGAGTTTTATCCTTTCTCCACCACTTCAGTTTTGTGGGGATTTGTACACTTCACTCACCCACCCGCTGCCTCGGGGACATTAGCTGTACAATGGGGTTTGATTGTGCCCCTTGCGGGGTTCCTTGGAGACTGAAGGAAGGAACTCCCTGTGCTATATGGCAGGTCTGCACTGGGTGTTGGGCTGGCCTTCTCTGCCTGCACAATCCTGCATTAGACTTTCTATTTCTGTGATAATACACTATGATCCAAAGGGACTTGAGAAGAAAGAGCTTATTTGCTTACACTTACACATTCCAGTCTGTCATCAAAGGAAGTCAGGCCAGGAACTAGTGCTGAGGCCATAGAGGAGTTCCCCCTGTGACTTGGTCTCCTCTCAACCAGACCATGAGCTCCCCGCTCCAGAAATTCATATGCCATCTTTAGTGCCCAGCCCCTAGAACAAGGGAGGCGTTGGCTCACCTTGTGTGCCAGTCCACTTTTTACCACTGTGACAAGACACCTGAAAAATAACTTAATGCTCCAGGTGCCCGAGATTTCTGTCTGGTTAGCTGGCTGCATTGCTATGGGCCTGTGGCAAGACAGAACATTAGGGCAGTGGAGGAGGAATGTGTCAGCAGAGGTTCTTTACCTCGTGGCAGCCAGGAAGAAGGGTCCGAGGACAAGGCATAGCCTTCAAAGACATGCCTCCTCCACCCAGACCCCATCTCTTAGTGCCCACCACCTCCCAGTAATGACATCAAATTATGACTCTCAGTGGAAGAGCCCATTAATTAAGCCATAGTTCTCGTGGTCCATCAGCTGCCATTGGTTGCCATCTATCAGCCAGAGACGAAGCCTTCAACACAATAAGCCTTTGGGGAGACAGAGCTGAGCCACACAGTGTGCCCAAGACTCTTGCAGTCTCTCGCATTCTTCAGTTCACAGAATCTTGGAAGATGTGTGTTGTGATGCCCATTTCACGGAAAGGAAAATGTGGCTCAGAGAGGCAAAGGAACAAACTCCAGATGGCTCATGGAGTCAATAACTACTTCTCAAGATCCTGCTGGGAACCAGGCCTTTGCAAAATTCTGAGAATGCAGTGTTGACGAAAGTGGGCCACACCCAGATGAGCTCATGGGGCAGGAGGAAGTGAGAGCAGTGGGCAGTCCTCACAGCACAGCTGTGACTGCCCATGGACCACATGCAGAGTGAGAACATCAGCCAGGGAGCAAGGGTTCCCCTGCAGGAGGGCAGCCCGGCCGCCAAGAGGAAATGGGGCCCACAGGCTTTTATGAAGGGAGTATGAGGGAAAAGATGTCAAGTTAGAGATACGAGTGGTTTACAGTCCCCAAGGGATTGCCAGACTTCGAGAGTTATCCTTCTTGCTAAACAAGCTGTTTGTCCCTCACCCAGACAGAATCTACAGATGGGCATATATCATAACGTTATACAATCTGAGCCCTAATTAAACAGCAGAGACAAGCTCAAGTGTCTTCCCTGTCGGGATTAACTAATCCTTCAGTCGTGTGTCTAAATGGTGCTCTATTGCAGTGATGAGAAGAAACACTCCCTCCTTTCCTACTTCTAAGTTTGGGATACTTTTTCGTATTAGATGAAAATGCACGGGATTCGTTTGCTAAGCCTGCACGAGGCAAACCAGCTTCCCAGGCAGGAAATCCCCAAGCTGAGATCTAAATGTTGAGCAAGGGTGAGTCGTGTTGTCCAGGGCAGCCAGATCCAGGCAGAGCCCAGCCTTCCTTGCGGGTGCTGGTCCCTACCAGAGCTGCACCAGCTTTCACGTTTCTCTCTCCATCGCCCCTGCAATAGCAATCAGCCTCCTGACAGCTTTAAAAATGGACCCCAGGATCTTTGTACAGGCTTGCTCAGTCCAGAACACCCACTTTCTACTTGCCCTCCAATCTGGCAAGTGGACTTCGTTCATTCGTTAGACATGTCATAACTGCCCAGCAATTCCGTGGAACCCGTGTCACAGTTTGTAATTACACATGGATCTTGTGTTGGTTGACAAGCTTCCCTCTTCTACAGTGCCCTGGGGCTGTCTGATTGTCAGAGGGTATTGAAATATGTTCCTTAATATAATTCCCATAACCAGCCCCCAGATAGCTGGTTTCCTCAAAAAAATAATTGTTTGAGGAATGAGAGATTGGATAAAACGGTGGAAGGTTGAGTAGTAGATAGATTGCTAGATGTAAGGATGGATGGGTAAGTGGATGGATGGATGGATGGATGGATGGATGGATGGATGGATGGATGGATGGACAGACGGGTGGACAGGTTGGAAGAGAGGAAAGAAAGGAAAAGGAAAGAGAAAGGGTATAGTTTGAAGCCTACTTGGCATCTTAGGAACACTAAGACTCCCTAACTTCCAGGTTAAGAATTGGACTCAAGCCCTAGTCCCTGGACCTTTCCCACTGAGCTTCTCTGTCATTTGTCATGGTCATGGGTACATTTTCCCAGCTGGCAAAGAGGCAGTGACACTTGTTTAAGCCCTTGGTGCCTCTTCTTGGGGAGCTGGGGCTATACATAGAAAACAGGATGGAAGAATACAACCAGATTCAAATAAACTCAGGAAACATTTTAAAGGGCATAAAAGATAAATATTTGAATTTGTATTTTAAACATGATTTTATTTATAAAAGACATATTGTTGAGACTGGGAGATGGCCTGATAGTTTAGGGAACTTGTTCATGCAAAGGACCCAGGTTCAATTCCCAACCATCAGTAGCTTCGGTTCCAGGAGAGTTGAAGCCCTGTTCTGACTTTCATGGGCACTAACCATGAATGTAGTACACATACTCACATACAGACACATAAAATAAATCACGGAGTTTAGAGAGATAAATGACTAAAATAAGATTTTTACTTTGCTAATACCATATACAAAAATCCAAATGGACAAAAACTTAGATATAAGAGCTAACACTATAAAACTCTTCTAAGAAGACATAGGAGGAGGAGGCTTAATGACTCTGGATATAACAACGACATTTTTGGGTATAATACCAAAACTCCAGACCAAAAAAGAAAAAAAAAAACCACAAGTTGGGCTACATCAACATTAATAACTTACTAGGCATCATGGCACAAGCCTTAATCCTAACATTGAGAGGCAAAGGCAAGCAGATCTCTGCATTTGAGACCGTTGTGGTCTACATAGTAAGTTACAGGACAACCAGGAGTAGATAGGAAGATCCTATGTCAAAAAAATTAAACACTTACATTCTTCAAAGGACACTATTACCAGAATGAAAAGTCTACCTATTCACTACAAGAAAACAGTTGTATATCGACTAAGAGATTAATATATAGAATATATAAAGATCTCCTAAAACTCAGTAATAAAAATTTCCACGTCTACTCCATGGTCTAGCCTAAGAAGTCTCATAGACTTCCCTTTCCTATTCATGTCTCCTCCCAAACCTGCCAGATCTGGTCTGGGTCTCACATCTAATGCCCTGACCTAGTCTACCCATGTCTTGCATTGCAGTCAAGCTAGGCTCCCACCAGGACCCTCCCTACCTGTAACACCCACAAATATCTAATGTATCTCTTATAACCATCCTACTGAGTCAGATACCCCTCTTCTTTCTCCAGGGTCTATCCAGGTGAGTTTCCTTGTCGTCCCTCCCCCAATTCATACCTTTACCACAACCACCTCTACCCCTGCCTCTCTACAGATGATCTCTAGGCTTTGGACAAGACCTGCCCTACTTATTCCCCAGCCCACAGGACCCACCCATGCATCCAGTCATATCTATCCCCAAAATCTAGGCTTAGAGCAGAAAGTACATACTGCCCATTCCCCTCTAAGCACCTGACTTCATTCCACCCAAGCCGTTTCCAGCCTCTAGGCCCAACATCTCTACCCACTCAACATACTCTCTTTATTTCCAACCTGTTCTATACGTATCAGACTAAGAAAAGATCTTACCATATCTTACCTCAAAAATGCCAATAATACAAAAGAGCAAGCCAGTATCTTCTCTTCAAAACCTACTTGTGCTATAGAAACATCTACCAATGAGAGTTTTCTAGATGAACCCAGGGCACAGAATTTAAAAGAAGAGTTGTAAATTTCATAAAGAATTCAAGGAGTTTAAACACACACACACACATACACACAAAACAAACAAACAAACAAACAAACAAACCAGCTTAATGGATTTAAGGAGAAAGAACTGAATGTGCCAAAGCCCTTAATTCTGACAACTGGCCAGTTGTAGGTCTCTACGCTAGTTCTCATCTACTGCAAGAGGAAGCTTCTCCAACAATGTCTGAAAAGGTACTGATCTTTGGGTATGGCAGAACAACTTCAGGAGTAATCTTATTGCTAGGTTTTGGCATGACACCAGTATTTGGTTTTTCCTGTAGACCTGCGGCCTATCCAGTCTTAGTGTCTTGGGCACCCAAGCAGTATCAGGCACAGCTTCCATCTCATGGAGTAGTACTTAGATTTAGCCAGAGAGTGGTTGGTTACTCCTACAATATTTGTGCCACTATTGTGCTAGCGTTGGTCTGGAGTGGAGGAAAGCCACGAACAAAATATTATATAAAAAAGTCTTCAGTGAATAAAAAAGGAAATTGAGGAAGAACTTAGTGAATATAAATATCTGAATGATGGAAAAAATTAAAAACCCATAAGCATAAGGCAGTCGAAAATGATAATGATAACAGAATTGGATAGTGACATTGAAAAGGACAAGTTGAAATGAAGGTAAAATTGAAAAACCCAATGATTGAACTGGAAAACTCAAAGGAAAACTGCACAAGTAGAGAGAACCAAGCAG